ATCGCATCATATGACCCTTTTAAAGATATAAAGGTTATGTTTTCACAGAATGTTCTACATCTTTACGAAGAATGATTTTATGTAGAAAACAGTAAACACAAAAAAAAAAGACTTTAGCTGGGTTTTCACAGGCAGGGTCACATATCTGAGGTCAATGTTAAAAGCCCCAAAAATATCCTGGCTCTTCCAAGCTTTATGATGGCAGTGAAATAGGGGTTGATATTTTGAAGCCCAAAAAAGTGCATCGCTTTGCTTCAGAAGGCCTTTATTAACACCCCAGAGCCGTGTGGAGTACTTTTTTATGATGGATGGATGCACTTTTTTGGGCTTCAAAATCTCAACCCCTATTTCACTGCCATCATAAAGCTTGGAAGAGCCAGGATATTTTTTTTAATAAAACGAAATTATTTATTTTTTTCAGTACATTTTTTTTTTTTTTACTTTTGATTGTATTCATCTGAAAGAAGAAATTCATATACACCAAGGATGGCTTGAGGAGGGTAAGTCAGTTGTGGGGTAATTTTAATTTTTGGGTGAACTATCCCTTTAACGACCCCACACTTAGGAACGATAGTGTGCATTATATAATTGTGTATATACAGTATCTCACAGAAGTGAGTACACCCCTCACATTTTTGTAAATATTTTATTATATCTTTTCATGTGACAACACTGAAGAAATGACACTTTGCTACAATGTAAAGTAGTGAGTGTACAGCTTGTATAACAGTGTAAATTTGCTATCCCCTCAAAATAACTCAACACACAGCCATTAATGTCTAAACCGCTGGCCACAAAAGCGAGTACACCCCTAAGTGAAAATGTCCAAATTGGGCCCAAAGTGTCAATATTTTGTGTGGCCACCATTATTTTCCAGCACTGCCTTAACCCTCTTGGGCATGGAGTTCACCAGAACTTCACAGGTGGCCACTGGAGTCCTCTTCCACTCCTCCATGACTACATCACAGAGCTGGTGGATGTTAGAGACCTTGCGCTCCTCCACCTTCCGTTTGAGGATGCCCATGCTTGGCCAATCCATCACCTTTACCCTCAGCTTGCTTGGTAGTGTGTGCACTTTGGATGGGATAAATGCAGAGCACTAATTCCGAGTATGGGTCACCATACTTGGCCACATGTCACTTCACTTCACTTTCTTCTTCTTCTTCTTTTGTAATACTCCATCAGTTGCCATTTTGAAATGGCATTTTCCAGCAAGGGTATACTGTGCAAAATCATCATTTCAAAAGCACTGGTATCATGTTAGTCTGTTATTCCCAGATCCTATTGAGAGACCTTTCATTTCAGCCGCTCAGGGACTTGTATTCATGAGAACAATGCTTGTTTACTACACAAGATAATCAGTATCAGCTGCACTGTTTCTCTTTCTCTCGGCTCCATCTGTCCTTCTGTATTTTCACATCATCAAACGTGTTGCTATTTGTCCTTTGTAGGCTAGCATATCAAAATTAATATTGGTAAATAACGTGTAAATCCTGATCTCTTCAGTGATACTGTACTGTGAATGTAGGTCTGCTGGGTCGACGTTCCTCCACATTGCCCTCCTTATAGCGATCGTGCTGAGATGAGTTATCACAACAGGTGGATATATATTTTGGCAGCATTGCTCATACAGAGAGCCTGTGCCTCTTCCTCATTTCGGTTTCCAAATGCAGATGTCTGATCACAATTCCAGACAGAATTGCCCCATAATGTTCATTAACAGCCCAGCCCCAGTTTTGACCGATGTAGCCTACATGTTGGTTGTTGTAAGAGTGCTCGATGCAAATCAGTAGTATTATTGCTCATACTTATGTCCACACTGTTCACAGGTTTGTCGCTGGAACCTGTCAGTTCACTGTACCTTTCGCTGTGTTTACGTTCCTACATTCCTATTCCTGGAATACACCAATCCAAAGATTCGATTCCCCCACAGAATCCTATCCTTCTTCCACCCCAAAGCTATAAAGAGCTTCTGGGATGATGTTTTTTTGTTTGCCAAACCTCAGAAATAAGTTTTTCACCTATGGTTTCATTGTCCTGAACGGAATGTTCATCCTGAAATTGATTTTTTAAATTGGTATTTTGGTAAATGCCTGAAATAATGTCTCTAACACAAACTCGAGATATTTTTGTGTTTTATTCTGCAACATAAACAAAACGGCGTTTTGTTAATAGTTTAAAGGGGTCCTATTATGCTCTTTTACAAAGTCTTGATTTTGTTTTGGGGGTGTACTAGAACATGCTCTCATGCTTGGTGGTTCGAAAATCGCATTATTTTTCACATAATTTACATTATTACAATACCTTTCTCCCCAGGCTGGCACAAGCTTGCTCCGTCTTTCAACAAAAACTTTTTGGTGAATCCGGCACTGTACTCCCTCGTGTTGTGGAAGCTGTCCTCAGTAAAATACGCAGCACACAATAGCAAATTGGGGTTATAATGCTCAGGGACAGAGTTAAAAAATAAATTGCAACCACTGTTTCCTGACATCATCCGCTTTCGGAAGCCCAAACAAAGACGTTTGAGCACGGAGGTGAAAAAAAACAGTGTTTCAGGCAGTCGCACACCGGATTACACACTGACTAAAATTAAAAAAGTGAAAAAGCATAATAGGACCCCTTTAAGTTTTTTAAGTGTTATAAGCGTTGATTTGTCTTGGAAAAAGCTAAATGGGACTACAGAGGTCTGGGACATTAAAAGTCAAACAGTAAACTCATCTACTTACTAGTTCTCATTTACAGACTTATTGTGTTTTAATGGTGCTCTAAAAATACAGTATTAAAGAGTTGTCTGAAGCTTAATGTTGGTGAAGTTGAAGTCATGTGACTGTGGTGTAGTTCGTTTATATCCTACGTTTAACTTTTGTATGTTTGACGATTGCATTTAGGCTTTAGTATTCATAAAAGTTGTGTTCAGTTGTGATGATTACCATGAATAACACAACGTGTAAAGGCTGGAATGCACTACACGATGATACACTATGGCCGTGATACACTATGCAATTTTCTATTAAATCTGTCTACTCAAATCTGCAGACTTGCTCTGACTTTTGACAACCAGCGTCGACTTGTCCAGACTGTAAATTGGGGCAAAAATCTGGGCAAAAGTCATGTAGTGTATTCCAGCTTTAAGAATCATAAACTTTTGTTGGTCACAGAGCTTATTTTATGCAATAATCTAAAAGCCAATGGAAAAATCCTGTTGGGTTTTGGTGGAGGAAACAAGGGTAATGCTAACTTCTGGTTTGAACTACAAAAATACATCTTCACTGTAACACAATATTCCACTGACAAAGACAGTGGGTTTTATGAGTATTCAGTTAGGTGCCCGATTGGTATTAATTGGTGATCATGAAAATATGTTAATGTCTTTTAAGTGTCACTCTAAAAGGCTAAACGTTTTCTGTTCTTTGTGCTTTCTGTTTGCCTACTAGCTTAGCATAGAACAAGGTACCTTGTGGCGATGAACTCCATAACCATTAAAAACGTATGTTCTTTATAGTATGAATGTGAAAATACAAGTTTCCCACTTGGAATTACGACATTGTGATGGCATTTATATGTGTTTAGCTCATAAATACAATCTTTTTTACTTGACTTGAACGCACCATTCCCATACTGTTTATATTTGGAAAGTACGTATTTTCAGATGCAAGTACCGTTTTCTTTTTGCTCAAAATTTGCATTATGAAGAGAAAGCTTTTTGTATTTAAATTACAGCGGTGTGTAATCTCATATGAACAAGAGTTATGAATGCTTGAATCAAACTCTCGTATCTCGCAGGAGATGTCAGCTCTACTGACTTTACTCCATTTGGTACTATTTGTACCATTTGGTGTTTATTTGCATGAAGTTAAATTTAAAAGTTAAACTCCCACATCCTGTTGTCAGTGGTTAATGTCGCTCATGTTGTCGGAAACTGGGAGCTCTCATTGAAAATGAATGACTACAGGTTACTTTGTCGCTGTACATTGCTTTAATTGTGAACTCTTCTTTTGGGTTAGCGAAAATAATGATACTTCAAATTGTGTGGCTTGTTGAAGAGGCTTGGCCAGTAAGTAACTACCCTAGCAACTCCTTAGAAACCACCCAAAACACCCTAGATACCTTTAGCAATGTGCTGAAACCCAACCAGAACGCCCTAACAACCAGTCAAAGTTTTGCACCACTCACATTTTCTTTGCAGAGTTTAAAAATCGAGATCTTTTTTGTAGGCTATTGGTGAGTAAGCAGTAAAATAGTGGAGCGCTGAAGGGAAATGTTTTTCAGTGTGTTTTTTTTTTCTCACTCTGGTTCTGTGGGCTGTATGCAAACCCTGCCGTGCACAAAGCCAAAGGGTGATAAGACGCTTATTTGACTCGCTGTCGGTGCACCAGGAGGAAATGATGTCATCAGGCGCAAGAGAGACAGGATTGTTTTGCTCAGCGCTGAAGCTGGCCAGCACAAACCTCACATGCTCCGACGTATTTCTGTTGATTTGTTATGCAAAGAGTGTCCAACGTTTCGGGTCTCGCCGCCTATGGCTGGCTGGCTGTCTGTCTGTCGAGGGGAAAGGGTTCCGCCGATGTTGTTTTAAAAATAGCCCTTGTGTTCGATGCTCTTGCACTATTGCCGCCCAACACAATTTAGGGCTCCCTTCTGTTCCTCCATGGATCTCAGGCAACCTCCCTAACTTTTTCGACCATAGCTGGACCTTTTTAGGAAAACCCCAGTCTTTCTGCGGATGTTTGCAGATGCAAAAAAGCATTGATGTCTATGAGACGAACCTGTCTGTGGCTGTTCTAATGTCAGCACACAGTTGTTTTTGACAGCAGTTTCCTCTGTGTTTCATAGTCTGTGCCAGTTCACAGCTTGTAAGTGACATTTTGTTTATAGACTTGCTTTACCGTACTGCGCAGGCCGAGTGTCCTGTTTTGTGCACCGATGTTTGTGCAGATAGTGTGTGTTATTGTAACGTTTGTGCTAGCTAACTGCTCTCCTGTTCTGTTTTCTTTCCACAGACAACAGTCAAGTGAGGAGGACAACTCAGCCACACTTTAACGTGCTGCTAAAGCCTCCATATTGAAAACAAGAACTCTTTTTTTAAATTTTTTTTTTATGCTTAAAATCAAATTTCCTCCAGAGATTGACGAAAAGATAGGGCGACTGAGACAGGGGAGGTGGCAGAAAAGTTTCCGTCAAGGAACTGAAGATCTGTGCTCTGCAATGCCTCTGGTATGGGCCCTGTCTTTCAAATTTGGGTGCCCGTTGAGGTATTTTGAAATAGTTGTCATGGGATGCTTTTCTTACTTTCATCTTACAGCCCAGCATTAGCGGAATGGATACTCCCTTTGGGGATGCCTATCAAAACTGCTCTTTTACTGACCAGGCACTGACCAGCACAGACATGTTGGCTAACAGTTCTGACCCAGATTTCATGTATGAACTGGTGAGTTCATACACACAGTAATACTCTTTCAGGTTTTATTCATACCTAGAGGCCTTTCACACTTCAAAACAAGATATGTTTAACTAATTTGTTTCTTTGTTTTAGTTGAATTGTAGCTAAATTTTACTAAATTAAAATGAGGGAATGAAATGGTGACCACACTTTATCTAAAACGAGGGAATGACTATGAAATGTGGCCATGTAAATTATGCACAATTTCTGCCTGATAACATATTTTGGAGCTGATCATAATTAGAAAAATGTATAATTAGAAAAATTTATATTCTTTATGAAATTGGCCATGGTGTTTTAAATTATTAATTTGCATGACTTTTCCAGGTCTAGAAATCACACAAGTCATCTTGGGGCCCACTTGGACGTTTGCTGAGACCCCCTATAATGGGCCCCAAACTCTGAGCATTTTATTAAATTTAGTTCATTTAATTCAATGATTACACATTGGGTCATGAGTAAAGTGACAAACTGACAGTATTGTTTTTGCATAGTGTTTCAGAAGATAGCCAAAAGTAGTTGTGGCAACATTTCCACAAATGGACAAGCAGTCATTAAACCAGGCTGCATACAGTACTTGTCCAATAAAAGTTACGAACCTCGTAAATATGCAAATAGGAACATTAACACAGGGCTTACAAATGAGCTATGTGAAATCTTGAAACCAGACAACCCAGAATTAATTACAAACTCAAGGTAAAGTCTAGACAGTGTAAAAGGTGGAACAAGATTACGCAGGGTTATGTTAATGACAATGGGTACAAAGTTAAGTTATGTTTTTGAATGTTTGCAGGATCGGGACATGACTTGTCGCCAGAGCCCTAGAGGAGATATTTTCACAGTTGGAGACTGCAAAGACTCGGACTGCATGGATCATCTACCTGAGCTGGTAGACAACGACCCTGCTTATTGCTCAAACTTTGAGCAGTGGGACACATACTGGGAGGACTTGACTAAATACACTCGCCTCACCAGTTGTGATATCTGGGGCACCAAGGAAGTTGATTTCTTGGGCCTTGATGACTTTTCCAGCCCTTACCAGGACGAGGAGGTGATAGGTCGGACACCGACCCTGGCCCAGCTCAACAGTGAGGACTCGCAGCCAGTTTGTGACACTCTTTACCATCCGGACTTGCTGGTGGGTCAAAAGCAGCTTTTGTTTCCACCTCCCACCGTGGCCAAGAAGACCAACAAACTCAGCAGCTCTGCAACCAGCGCCTCATCGAGTCGCAACCCTCTGCCGGACTTCCCCGAGGGATCCCAGAAAGCTACCTGGCCTGTTCCCTCCAGCACTGACACAATGGCCAAGGCCCAGCTTCAGGGCCCTAGCAAAGCCTCGCTCGCACTTCTGGACAACATGGATTACGTGCGCAAAGCCAAGGTTCGCATCAGCGTACCACGAAAGCCTATAGTAGAGAGATCCACCCAGATTAGCGTTTCTGCCTCTCCTCTTATCCAGGAGCATGAGTCGTCAGCTTCGCAGGTCAGCGAGGACCCGGCCGTCGTCGCTGCTAACACGGCATCCTCCATTAGCTGCGAAAAGAGAGTGGAGACTCCTAAACGAGAGGTACCGACTTGTCCTGGTCCAGAAATAGGGACCCTGAGGACGGTGCCACACAAACTGCACTTCCCTGCAGCTGCCGGCAGTGAAACCTTGCTCACCGTGAGTGCCCTTGGATCCGACGTGTCTGCCGCTGACAAAAAGAAGGAGGAAGAGCACAACTACTCGTTATTCTTAACCAGGGCCAGGCTGGCAGGGAAGGCGACTGCTGACATGGAAGAGGAGGAAGAAGAGGAGGAAGAAGAGGAAGAAGAAGAGGAGGAGGCAGAGGCAGAGGCAGAGGGATTGGATCTAGATGATGAAGACCATGATGAAGGGTTTGGCAGTGAACATGAGCTCTCGGAGAATGAAGAGGAGGAGGAGGAGGAGGAGGAGGAGGAGGAGGATGATGAGGACTATGAGGGTGACAAAGATGACTACGTTAGTGATGCATTCTCAGAGCCAGGTGCAAAATTATGTTTTTGTTGATGCTGTTGTAGCCAAATGCATAAACACTAGGGATGCATTGATAATGATACTTCTATCAATACATGCTGTGCTGTATATTCAGACTTTCGGAGGTACAAAATTCAATGCCACCAAGCGAGTGCACAGTACATTTAGCACAAATAGGCCTACAACTGAGTGAGCAGGAAGAGAGAATATATATAGCATTAATTCTCCTAGAATGTCATTGCTCTTGAGTAGCATTGGGAAATCCAGTTCATTTTAGGACTTAGGCATTTGGAAAGTGCATTGTAAGTTTGTGTGCAGATAACCAAGGGGAAGTGAAAGTAACAGATGATCTTATCCAATACTTGGTTATATATAAAAATGACATAAATTACAATCAGTTATTGTGATGCCACCCAAAAGCAAATTCATGTATAGGTTCTTAAAAGCGTGAATCTCTTCGTGATTTTTTATTTGGAGTGGCATTATGGAGCTAATAATTGTAGACATTTTAGACAATGGGGACCATAAACTTGGTTACCTGCATTCTTCCCTTTAAAGGGATGGTTCATCCAGAAATGAAAATTCATGTTTTTCCAAAACCATTTTGATTCACGTGTTTCATTAAGATATTTTAAATTAAACCTTTTTAAAAAAGTCCATTCCACTCTGTTCGAACGAGCCGTTTTAGGTAGGTGTGGTTAAGTCTTAACTTTTATAAAGAATATCTCTTTGGATTTGAGACTTTAGTCTTTGCAACTTTACAGATCTTCTTTATGCACCAGGAGCTTGTAACACTCCAAAAAGAAAGGAAAAATTGAAATCGCATCATATGACCCCTTTAAACATTTTAAAAAGACATTGCAAAAGTAATGCATACAGATTGTGTGATTTAATCCAAATCTTTTGAAGAGACAGGATCGCTTTATAAGATGACCAGATTTAATTTAGGCTTTCATTCACATATAAACATTGATCAACTCACATACATAGAGCACATCGAAAATGGTAATCTGAATTTTAACCGTACTTGCTCGATTGTTTAAGAGTAAACTTCATTGGTTCTTGTGCATCATGCAAGCATGTTTAAGTTTTTGTTTACAATATTTGATGTCTATAGAATGTCCCCATTAAATAGCGAAGTAAACGTGTAGTTATTTATTGATTAAATTGCATTATGCATATTTTACTTTTGTAAAACTCTTTTGACTAGTGCATATGATTAATTGCAGCAGTTTGCAATTTCAGGTTTGAATTTGTCAAATAGTGCAGACCTAGTGACGGCAGTTAAGATGACAGAAAACATTTAGATAGGGATCTTTGAAGTATGATAATTTGTGTCAAACTCTAAGTGTGTCCTCCTCCACCCATCCTGTTGGATACTGAAGAGACCCAAATTTCCACCTGTCAAAAACAAGAATTAGAAATGCCACTCACTGGACATTTTTTTGTCTTGCAGTGTTTTGTTCGCTAGTCAGCTTGTCAGAAGCCTGCAATTAGTTTTTTTTTAGGTTGATCTAAAGGACATGGAAGTGTTGCAAAAGTTGTTTGTAAACATTGCAATTTTACTTATTGCGTTATGCTGCTATAGTCTCCTGTATTTGCTGTTTAAGTTAATATTTGATGAAAATAATAATCATCAGTCTCATTGGACTGTACTTGAAAATGATAGCGTTACTGAAATACTAGTATACATAACAGCAAATACCAAAACAGAAGTATCAGAACTTGTATTTAGTATTGTGTGCATCCCTAATGAAAACTGCCCTAATTTGAAAATGTGACGCTACTAATATCTTAGCCCTTGTGACTTGTTATGGTTGAACTGAGAATTATGATTGTGCATTTACGAGATTATAATGGTTTAGTGTTTTTAAAAAAATGCAGGATAGGAAAAGATCATTGTTAATTTCTTTCATCGCCTCATTACCAACCTATATTTTAAACAGGATGTGACACTGATATGGGTGATGATGTCCAAGGCCTGACGGCTGGAATTTCCAGGAAGAGGGGAAAGCGTCGATACTTTTGGGAGTATAGCGAGCAGCTCATCCCATCCAAACAGGAGCGCATGCTGAAACCCTCCGAATGGGACAGAGACACGCTTCCCAGCAACATGTACCAAAAGAATGGCCTGCACCATGGTGAGACATTCACTGTCCATTATATATAAAATCTATGAACAGAGAAGGGGCTGTTCAGTTTATGTTATAGATTATAATTCCAGCAGATCACAAGATTTAACGCTTTTATGAAATGTAGAAAATTCATATGGACAGAAGTAGCTTTTACTAGCTATTTTAAAATCTTCCTTTAAGCCTGATATATTTAACATTAATGTTTGTCTGACTTGTTTAGGAAAATACACAATGAAGAAGTCACGGCGGACGGATGTGGAAGATCTTACTCCAAACCCTCGAAAGCTGCTTCAGATTGGCAATGAACTCCGAAAACTCAATAAAGTCATTAGTGACCTGACGCCGGTTAGTGAGTTACCCCTAACCGCTCGGCCTCGGTCTCGAAAGGAGAAGAACAAGCTTGCATCCAGGTAAAGCCATATTGCTTATTGCTTGAACTACTACTGCTTTCATTTCTTAAAGCTCACGTCCCAACGTTTTCCCTTAAACTTAAAATCCTATAAAGTAGTACCTTTATAGTTAGACTAGTTAAGCTACATTGTGTGCTGTTAGTGATTTAAAATGCTGAAATACAGTGCGCCAAAATGACTTTTTTAGCAAAATACTCTACTTGATTCTTCTTTGTGTGTTTTTTCTTCCTTAGGGCCTGCAGGCTGAAAAAGAAAGCGCAGTATGAAGCCAACAAAGTCAAGTTATGGGGCCTTGGAACTGAATATGGTACATTGTTTAGACATGGAAATTAAATATTAAAGGAAGTGCTTGAGATTGTGTATTGTAGAATATCTCTGTCTTGACCAGACTGAGTGTAACCACTTTACTTACCTTTGAAAGACTAGTGTTTAGATCAGTTAAGTTTTTGCGCATACTCATAACCGATGCAAATATGCCAAGAATGAGACCAAGATATGAATATCTTCTTTTTCAGATCGTTTGCTGTTTGTGATCAATGCAATCAAAGAAGAGATCGTCAGCAGAGTACAGGATATCTCGCATGACAAAGGAACAAGCATGACAGAGAAGCTGGATAAACTCATTGAGGATACCTTGGGTAAGAAAATGTTCTACATTGCATTATTATTAACACTTGTAAAAGTGCTTTTAGAATTAACATTGCAAATGCAAGTTATGTGTGATCTTGTACGAGCAAGTTTCTCCTCAAACACACCACTAACAGCAAGCTGAGTTGCAAGAAATCTACTTGCTTTACAAGCGTGATCAAGCTGCTGCATCTTCTCCAGCAGCTGCTATCCTTGTGTTTGGAAAAAGAATTTTAAGAGCCTTCGCATTGTTTCGCTCCGTGCTGTGCCGTGCTGTTGTATTGAAACTGTTTTCTGGCTGTTTGTGATCAATGCAATCAAAGAAGAGATCGTCAGCAGAGTACAGGATATCTCGCATGACAAAGGAACAAGCATGACAGAGAAGCTGGATAAACTCATTGAGGATACCTTGGGTAAGAAAATGTTCTACATTGCATTATTATTAACACTTGTAAAAGTGCTTTTAGAATTAACATTGCAAATGCAAGTTATGTGTGATCTTGTACGAGCAAGTTTCTCCTCAAACACACCACTAACAGCAAGCTGAGTTGCAAGAAATCTACTTGCTTTACAAGCGTGATCAAGCTGCTGCATCTTCTCCAGCAGCTGCTATCCTTGTGTCTTCAAGAATTTTAAGAGCCTTCGCATTGTTTCGCTCCTTGCTGTGCCGTGCTGTTGTATTGAAACTGTTTTCTGAAGAAATTTTTGTTAGCACATCACAATCAGCGCATCACCACATGACATGACCTCATCCTACTGTTATATAAGCTACGAAAACCAACTTTAAAAGAACATAAGATGATATTTTTGAATGTTTTTTCAACATCTCAGCCAGGTTTTCCCACAAGACTGGGAAGTAAACAGCCCAGTAATCTTGTCTGTCCTATTACTTGATTTTGTAAATTGTGTAGACAATTTAATTCAGTAACCCTCAACTGAATTCAAAGTCATTTAAAGGGCTAGTTCACCCCAAAATGAAAATTCTGTCATTTATTCACCCACAACACTTTTTCATAGAACACAAGAAACGCGTGATTTTTAAAGTAATTTCCTGACAGCAATTCTTCATATAAACGACAAAAAAGAACCATTACAATTTTGGAACAACCTTTGGAGTAAGATGTTCCAAAATGACAAAGAAGCACCAATAAAGCAACATGACAGCCCAGATCTCCAGTCACATTCACTAAACTGAAAAGTGTGGCCTGTATATTCTTCAGCATTTCATTCAAAGGAATAAAGTCATGCAGGTTTGCCACAGTATTTATGTGGGAATTTTCACTTTTTGGATGAACTATTCCTTTATGATCAAGGCAGGCTACTGTGCTACTCTGTAGTCTTAGTTCCTGGTCTAAAAACGTATACACATGACCAATGTGGCAACATTTTTGTACTTTAATGGAAATTCTAACAGTTTTATTGTATTACTTGTAGTGCTGTCAAACGATTAATCGCGATTAATCACATCCAAAATAAAACTATTTGTTCACATAATATATGTCTGTGCACTGTGTATATCTATTATGTATATATAAATACACACACATGCATGTTTTTGGTGATTTCAAATATCAACATTGGCTACCAGAAATCGCTTACTCTGCCTTTAATATAAATATATACATGTAAATATTTTCAAAATATATACTGTTATGTATGTGCATTTACATTTACATAAAAAATATACACAGTACACAAACATATTACGTAAACAAAAACTTTTACTTTGGATGCGATTAATCGCGATTAATCGCTTAACAGCACTAATTACTTGTATGGTTTTCTTAATACGTTCTCTTTTGTTTATACAGTGCAGCCACCAGTGGCCGGCCAGACTTCAGACTTTGTGAATCAGATCCTGGAGAGCACTGGGAAAGGAGATCCCACCGGAGGGCTGGTGGGGTTGCGTGTGCCCACGTCGAAGGTGTAGAGTCACGCCGACTGGCACCTCGGAGCCATCCACGCCATTCTTGTCCCACACTGTAACGGCCCAACACTCTGCATGCCCATTTCACTTGGAGACGCATCCTCACATTTAAAGTGAATACACGCATACGGTACCCGCTTGTCCGTGCATACGTATGTGTATATTCACCTCGTGCGCACCAATGGAAATGAAACTAGTAGTTAACCTTTGCACTCAGTAGTCCGTTTCCTACCATGTGTGCATGTGGCTGGTATCGATCAACAGGCTGCCATGTTGCAAATATTAAAAGCCAATATATGAGATACCTCCACCAAATGAGAAAAAGAGAGAGAAAAGAGCTAAACGATGAGCACCAGTTCTTGCTGTAGCCATTTTCCTCTTGCGTCCAGCTAAATCTGTCAAATGCCCATTGAGAGTTTTGGGAAGCAGAGGCACACTCTGCAGAGAAACTACGAAGGCATTAGATTCTTTGATTTAGCGGTCAAAAAAGTGTAAATGCAGACTTTCCGAGTTTTTGAACATGGCGTGTACGATTTCACCCTTGTTAGGCCTACTTTATACACTTATTAATCTCTCAACTGAGGGCATAAGTGTCCAGGAGAATTCCTGTTCGAACCAATTGCTTGACGATCAATTGAGAAGGAACACAAATACCGATGTTTAACGCAAAGTTACTGATGTTCGGTGTATATATGTAGAACAGGGATGTTTCAAGAGAGTAGCATGTGAGGAAGTGGGCCTCAAATGCCCTTTCCCACAGATTTGCGATCGTCTCAGGTTGGTAGGAGAGAGAGTGTGTGAGGGTTTATTTTTTTCTTTTCTTCTTCTTTCTTTGACTTGAGCAGATGGTCAGTTAAATCCCTTATTGTAAATAGGCAGATCGATTGATTATCCACTGGTGAAATCTTTTCCTTTCTACATTTTGGTTGAAGTGCCCTCACGTCAAATCACCTTTGATGTTGTTTTGCAAATTCTCAGCGAAAGAGGCTTAAAAAGCTGAATCCCAGACTGGGTTTTGTTTATATTTGTACTTTATACAAGTAAGATTCATTGTGCCTTGTAATCGGGGAGTTGAGGAAAAATAAAACTCAATAGAGAGTGTAAATGGACCATTTTGCAGAAAGCAAGAAGTCGAAGCTCTTTAAAGATACTCTGAATGTACATAGGAACATGGAGAATATAGATATATGCCACAGAGTCTGTGCTTTGTATCATAAGATGGCTCTGGCAAATGTACTTTTTTCGGTACTTGGTTTAAGAGGGGAGGGAGGGGGGGGGTGGGATGTGTCATAATATAAGAAATATTCACATATAAAAAACAACAAAAAATGATATTTGCACACTATATTTTGTTTGTTTTGTTTTTTGTACCAAAGACACATGCAACTTAAAATGGCAACTAGCCAGTCTAAGTAAGGAATTTGCACAGCTTACCTGACACCGTATTGAATGTAGGAAAAATGGTAGGGTCAGGGATTTCTAATGAACTGTGAAATTTGCTTGGGTCCAATTCTCTGCAGAAAGAAGCGTTCATTTGCATCCTCATCGAATTTTGTACTGTTCCTTTGGTTCTCATATATATTTGTACCGCCATTCGGTTTCCCTCCACCGAAGTTTTGTTGCGTATTTAAAAGACGAGCTATAAAGTTAATGGAGATGCTTCTATTTTGCCCATAGAAGATATTATCACAAAACCAAAAGGTTTGCTATTCTTCCTATAGTTGGAGAAGAGAGTGCATGCATATACAAAAATGATACAAGTCATTGTCTTGTTTAGAGTTTGAATACGCATTAATCCGTGCACACATTAAGATGCCATCTTCTCAAATACTATGTTACTCGGCATGAAACATTTCTACGCTTGTCTTCTTACTCTGAGTATTGTTGAACGAAAAATTGAATTGCGTATATTTTTGTAGAGATTGCCTTTATATTTCCTTTCTGTGCTACCCACAGATATCTCTCGGAAAATTCGGAAATGTTTTCGAAAGCACTTATCTTGCTAAGGGAAATCGGATGATCCTTTGCAAATTGTTTACCGATAGATTGTCTGTATTTAACACAATCTTATGTATAATTTATATATACATCATCGGCTGTAACAATCTCACAATAAAAAGTCCAGGTTGTTTTTAACCCCAGTATCGAAAAGAAGAAAAAAATGATAAATTATATTTTGCATAAAACTAAGCCTATAAAAAATGCACTTTACGCTGAAATTCTCAATACCGTAGTTCAAACCATTCAAAACCGCATTACCGTGATGTATACTTACAATTGTACGTTACG